AGCGGGCGATGGTGGTCCTCGGCGAGCTGAAGGAGGAGAGGCGCAGGCAGGTGCAGTGGCGCCCGACGCCGCGGCCGACGATGCCGCACTACGTCGTCACGTGCGACCTCATTACGTACGAGAGCTGCGGCCCCGTCTTCCGGCGCGACGACGACGACGACGACGACGATGATAACGACGAGGATGGGATGAGCATCTGCGGCACGGAGGGCGGGCTGGGACCGTCGGGCACGACGGTCTCGTGGCGGATCGAAAAGTGCCCGCTCGCGACCTTCACCATCCGCGCAATGGCGAACGAGCACGCCGGGGAGCTGCTCCTGGCCAAGTCAAAGGTGGACGAGCGCTTCGCGGAGCCCTCCGATGCGTATTGGTGGCAGCAACACGTCCTGCCGGCGCACAAGCAGGCGATGGCCCGGGCGCGCGGGCCGGGCGGGTTGTACGAGATGGCGATGGACGCGCATAATATGAGTTCGAGACTCGGCTGGGATCAAATCATGGTGCACGTACACGAGGTCGACGATGTATCTGGACCGGTGAATTTCTAGAGCGCGATAGAGGCGAGGGGGACGAATGAACTCATATTTCTTTGCCTGTAGTGATGGTAGTGAACTGGTGAACTTGCTGTATAAGCCGACGTCGTGTGTGCTGGCTCGTTCAACATGCAATGCAAAACCATCTACTTTCCGCCTTACCATGTCCAACGTAGAATTTTCTGCCTCGTTTGCTCAAGCCAGGCGGGCTTCACGTGCCGGCCTGGGCTGGCTGGGTATTGTCAATGACTTATGGGCAAGGAGCCTGTTCTTACGGCAGCTCAGCCGTCGATCAGTGACCCCGGCGAAACGCGGGCAAGTTTCAATCTGCACTGAACGCATGACTAAACGCTGACCGAGGACGAGGGATTCGGCGGCGTAGCTTTTGACCGCGGCACACAGGCCGGAGCCCGTCTTGACCTTGTAGTTCTTCTTAAAATAGCAAGAGTGCTCCGAATTGGGCACGTGTAGAGAAAGAAGAGAAACGTGCAAGGGGGCCGGCGCATAGGCGCCTGCACGAATATAATTGTTGGTAGCAGATTCCAAGCCACCGGGCACGCGGATTGGCTGATCCATTGTCCCCCGGCACGATGAGGCAGAATTTATAGACGTTTCGCTCTTCAGCTCCTATGTTATGTACCCGGGCCTGGTTCAAATGAGATCGACACCTTGCAAGTTCTGTGTATATAGTCGTGGTAGCCTGGTAGGTTTCGGCCCTCTGTCGTCTATGTTGCGGTTGTCCAACGTATTAGTACTGCATTGCCGATGTGATTCATCTGACTGTTTTCCCAATTATTCTCTCCATTGCATCCGTTTCTCTCTCTTTGAATTCAAATTGCGTTCGTCATGTCTTCCACCACGGAGGAAGAATCTCCTTCGTCTGCTCCCTCATCCCCCGCATCCACACTCCCCTCGTCTCCAGCCGCCACAGACAAAATCGAGAAGACAGAGGGAGAGGATAATGCTAGTGATCCCATCTCGGAAAACCCATTCGACAGCGAGAGCAGCCGGATCCTGTTCGATGCCGTAGATCAGCTGCAACACTGTGGTGCGAGTCGCCACGTCGATATTCCACAGGTGAGAACGCACAGCTTCCCTATCCTGCAATCTTCCTGACACCTGTCCGGACACATAGCTTGTGATTGTCGGAGGCCAATCCACAGGAAAATCATCTCTCCTACAGAGCTTAACCGATATTCCGTTCCCGGTGGGCACTGGGTGCTGTACACGCTTTGCCACTCGTATCGTGTCCAAGCGAACGGCGCCCGGCACGGCCAATCGTTTCAAGATCACCATTGTTGACCCCGAGGTGAAAATAAAAGGCTTCGAGTATCCTGCAAACAATGCTTACAAGGAGTATGTGCACGCTGGGGACACGCTAGGCGTTGATGAGTTCAAGGCTGTCATGGAGGAGGTAAGTGTTCCTTGTCATCACGCCCTTCGTTTCATCCTCGCTGACTTGACAGGTTTCAAATGATTACATGGGCATCAAGACCGGCAAAGGCCCTGGTAGGAAGAACTTTGCCACACAGGTTCTACGCGTGGAACTCTCCGGGCCGGGTCGGTCTTTCTTCAGCATAGTCGATATACCCGGCCTCTTCGTGAATCCGGATACGGTCAATGAAGGGGAAATGCACGGGATCAAGAGTATGATCGTCGAGTACATGAAGATGCCGGAGAATTTTGTCATGTACGTGTGCGCCCACCTGACCATCTCCGAACTTGCGTCTCACCGATTCTTAGCTGTGTCGCGGACGCGGTGACGGATCTCGCAAATCAGGGGATTGTCCACCTGGCGTCGCTACACGTGACGAAGGAGCGTTGCGTTGGAGTTTTGACCAAGTGCGATATGCTGCGTGATGACGAGGAAGTAAGTCAGGTGAAATCCTTTGGGTATTCTTCGCACTTACAAAGCTGGAAAAGGCCTCAGCCAAGGTCGTCGCCATCGCGACAGGCGGACAAGAACATACCACAAAGCCCATATGCGACACATGGTTCGTCGTGCGGAACCGCTCCAGCAAAGAGGACAAGTCCTTTGATTTAGCCGAAGCCGAGGCGCAGCTCTTCAGGGCAGCGCCGTGGGATCAGATCCTTTCCGGCCGGCGAGGAACGCGCATGTTGAGATCGCATCTCTCCAGCCTCCTCGCTCGCAGAATACGCAGCAGCTTCCCTAGCATAAGGGCCCGCATCCAAGACCTCCTCGCCGAGGCCCAACGATCGCGAGCGGTCTTGGGGGGCGCTCGGATAACCCACAACGACCGCCTGCAGTATTTGCGCGAGATTGCCGAGAAATACGAGGCGCTTGTAACGAACACGCTAGAAAGACCGGGCATGATGGAAGAGCAGCTGCGGGCGCGGAACAAAGTGAAAGTTGCTAACGAGGAGTTCACGAAAGTGATGCATACCAGGGGCCATAGGAACCAATTTGAAGATCCAAATCTAGACCCACTGGAGGAAGTGGCCAGGATGATGATGGAAGAGGAGAAGATGAGGATGGCGGAGAAAAAGGTGACGAAGGACGAGAAGAGTGAGCCTCCAAAAGATGAACAGCCTCTATTTCAATTCCGGTCTGGTGTTGTAAACAAGCCGCTCGCCATGCCAACATTCCTCAGTCCCGTAACTCCCGATGCTACGCCTACTGAGAAGCCTATTTTCGCGCCATCGCACTCCGTTTCCGCAGGGAATGGGATCGGGAAGGCCCTGCGGGAGGACATCCGAGCGGGATTGCGCGCCTTTGAGGGAACACAACTTCCTGGGCTGATCCACCCTGACGCAATCCCCGTTCTATTTCAGAAGCAAACCGAAAAATGGCACGAGTATGCCGCCAAACACGTCGTCGAGGTGGCTGGTTATCTGGGTGTCGCGGCGGCGGGAATCTTGGATATCGTATGCCCGTCTGCTTCCCCGGATGGTAATACACAGCTCCACGCGAGACTCTTTGATGTTCTGAAGGGGTTCTGGGAGAGTTCCAAAGCAAAGGCCTTGGCGGAGGTCGAAACCTTGTGTCGCCAGGAACGCTTCAATCCGCTGCAGACAACGAACTCGATCTTCTCCCAACGGCTGAAAGCGTGGCAGACGATCCGTCTGCGTCGCTCTCTGGCTTCTGTGCCACCGGGCTCGGATGCCGTGACGATCCATGACCGCATCCACTTCTCAATGGAGGAAAACATGATTGATACCGTGCATGATATATTGAAGGTGTATTACCAGGTAAAGAAGCCCCGTCGAGTTCCGCCCTTTTGATATTTTGTCATTCTAATCTTGCTATGCTGTTAGATTTCAATGGAGTCGTTCATCCGGTATATCACCCATAATATCGTCGAGCGCTTCGTTTCTGGACCATCGCTGAAGGGGCTCTCGAGAAAGTGGGTGGATTCACTGACGGAAGCCGAGGTGGAGCAGCTTGCCCACGAGGACAGAGATACCGTCGCCAAGAGAAACTCTTTGGACGAGCAGATCCAAGGACTGCAGGCGGCAGATGAGATTGCGCGGAGGGCTACCGAGTCAACTGGTAATCTCAGTCAGGCGTAGCACCCCGGCTTATCGGCTGTCAAAGACTCTGCCACTGGCGTGGATAGGCATCTTTCATGCTCCTTGGCTCGCGGTCCCAATAGACGCACATCTCGTAGTGTGCTACTCATTTCTCCGAGATAGAAACTAGAATTACCTAATATCTGGCCACAACTACATCAATATATTCGCTATTACACCGTGTGGTGCTTTCTTGGCAGCTGTCAAGGTCTCATCTACCATCTCGGGGAAGGGTCCAATATTTTCAAGTCGGAGACTTTGACCAGTGCAGTTACTTACATGTGTACCGTAGCAAATAGAATAACATATATTGCTAGAAGCAGTAGGCCTTGTTACGGAGTTGCTCGGAGGGATTTCCCTCTAACTAGTTTGAAGAAAGAGAAAGAAAGAAAAAAAGTCGAGAGAGCCTGCTCGTTATGCAAAACAAAGGCACAACACAATAGCCCCCCGTTTCCGGGAGGCATCAGGCTGCTTGCCTGAGTAGCCGAGAAAAAAGATTCTCCTGAGTGTGATTCGAACACACGACCTGTGGATCTCCAATATTGCCTTTACAGTCCAACGCGCTACCAACTGTGCCATCAGGAGCTAGATGTCGATATTGTTGTATAGTTCATCTATACGATGCTGCGCGTAGACACGTTGCCTCGGAAAGCAACTACAGATAAGCCAACGCAGACCAGCAATGCCATGCATCTTGGCGGCCGGATCTTTGTGCGCTCAACGGCATACTCCTGCGTCTGTCTCTGCAGGTACCGGAGGTTGCCGTACCCCTGTGGGAAGTTTTTGTTGCTTTTATTATTACACTGTAAAAACTTACACAGCCCTGAAGATTTCGTGTTACATGCCCGGTTGCGTTGAATACCTAAGCTCTGGGGTACATAGTAAACAGCTTCCGTACCTAATCTTTAGGCTATGATAACGCCCGGAATATCATCTACGGCACTGGTAGCTCAGGGGTAGAGCAACCGGCTGCAGCTTACCAAAGCATCCGGTAGGTCCCCGGTTCAAATCCGGGTCAGTGCTTATATTTATTTTGGGCTTCAATTTTTGCTTTCCTGAACGCTTTTTTATATAATTATCTCTCACGGTGGTTTCCATGTCACATACTCCACTCCAGGCTTTGTTTAGGTGACTTGACGTACGGGTTCAACCCCTTCCACAAGTTGACCAACCAATTTCTGATGGCTAATAATGGACGCCGTGGGTATGTTGAGTTCCATAACTTGCGCCTTCGCTTCGGATATGTAGCGTAACCCATTATTTGGTCATCCTTCAAGCTCCCGTTAATGAGGCACACCTTGAAGCGGCCGTCGAGGCTTGCTTCAGTCAAGCCGAGAGATTGCGGCAGTTGTTGGCGTACCCGCGCATCCCTACGGCTCAGCTTCTTCGAAGGCTGGTAGAGGGGAGCTCTGACTAAGTACCTATGGATGTGACGCATGACGGCACTGCGCACCGCTGCCAAGCACCATAACGCATAAGTACCTAAGGGACAGTTCACAATTGCCGGATACAACCGAAAGTTAGACCCAAATGTGTGCGGCTGAACAAGGAATACCCCCTTCGACACGATATAATTGTCCGGACGACAAGGCTACGGCGTATGGTTCGGTACTTAAGTACCCACGTAGGACCTCCCCGCGTCTAGGAGTATATACAGGTAGGTTGCTACTTGTGTTAGCACGTCGCCGGCCGTCACCGGAGGAATCTGCTACTTCTTACTGGTACTGGAATGAGCCAATGGAGCCGCCGAAGCCACACTTACCAGCCACTGCCCAATACCTAGCTGCAGTGCCCCGCGGCAGCACGTAAACCCCGCGCGCGCTCTGCTTCCTGATCTCATCTCGCCGGACAGGGTTTCGAGGGTTTCGCACCGGCACCGTACCTACCATGACTTCGCAGCTCCAGAAGAGCAAGCTGGCGTTTATCGGCGGTGGCAATAGTGAGTCGCCTGTATTTCTCCATCCACGCGGCCGCCATCGAGCTTGACCAGTCGGCACCGAGTCCCGAGTCCCGAGTCTCGAACCCCCAGTCCAGGCCTGGTCCGGGCCTGGTCCGGGCCCGTCGCCCAAAAGAGCAAGTACTGACGCCCGCTGACCTGCAGTGGCCGCCGCCATCATCGGCGGGCTCTCGGCAAAGGGCATCGACAAGCAGAACATCTGCGTGTCGGAGCCATGGGAGGTCAACCGCAACAAGATGAAGGACATTGGGGTGCGCACCACCGAGTCCAATGCCGAGGCTTCAACGGATGCCGACCTGCTCGTCGTTGCCGTCAAGCCTCAAGTCACCAAGACCGTGTGCCAAGAGCTGGCCGCCTCATGGGCCCAACGCTCGACCACCCCTTTGATCATCTCCATCGCTGCCGGCATCACGCTGGACAGCTTGAGGGAGTGGTTGAAGCTCGCTGACGGCCGTGTGCCACACATCGTGCGCGTCATGCCAAACACGCCCGCCTTGGTCGGCGAGGGCGCGTCGGGCCTGTATGCCGATGAGAGCGTATCTTCGTCCGAGAAGGACCTAGCCGCTGCACTGCTCGCAAGTGTCAGCAAAGCGACCACATGGGTAGATCGCGAAGAGCTCATCGATGTGGTCACTGGAGTGTCTGGTAGCTTCCCCAATCTCCATCCATCTCACTGCCGGCCCCCTCTAATCACATTTGCCTCAAGGATCCGGCCCCGCCTACTTCTTCGCCATGGTCGAGCACTTGATCGAGAGCGGGACCAAGTTGGGACTTTCGCATGAGCAGGCTACTCGCCTGGCGAAACAGACGTGCCTCGGTGCCGGCAAGATGCTCGTCGACTCGACGGAAGAGCCGTCGCAGCTGCGCAGGAATGTCACTAGCCCCAATGGAACCACGGCTGCCGCGCTGGAAAGCTTTGAGGCTTCGGGGTTCAAGGACATCGTCGACAAGGCTGTGAAGGCAGCAACGACGCGGGCTCAGGAGCTAGGAGAAACTCTAGGAAAGTAGTGCATCATTCGCCGAGACCCTGTCCCCGTCGGAGAGTCCGAAAGCTTTCAAGGTGCTCAAATAGAATTTAGACCTTGTGCAATAACAATAAGTCAGTACTAAAACTACCAGCAGTGAGAACTGTGTAGAACCGCGTTTTATCGCTTCGAAGTGCTTTCCCTTCTTCTTCTTTTCTTCCTGACTAATATACATTTTAAGCAAGACCTGGCCGGCTTCCCGCTACCCAGCTATTGAGATTCGACCTGGTTTTCTGCGTCTTCATGAGTGCCGCATTTGCCTTCGCACTTTCATCGGACACCGTCGGAGATAATCCGACAAATCGGCCCCACTACTTCCTACTTGCCCCAGTATGACGGAAGAAGATGTGTTCGTAGTCAAGGGGCGTAAATGGCGACAATTTAAGACCGACACCGGCCCCCCGCGGCGGTGGCGGCGTTGGAGGTATGTCATACAACCGCATCCGCCAATAGCCAATTCTAACTTTGCTTTTCTCTTGCCAGCCAGGTAGTCGTCACTTGCCAAGAGCAGTTCACCATGTCCAAGGCTGTCAAGCTCATTCATTGGTTCTATCATGAATTCGGGCTGGCATCACTACATGCGGCCGGACTTAATGCATACCTTATTATCTTGGCGAGAACATGCCGCATGTTCGCCTACGGCACTAATTCATTAATTCTAGGTAACCCAAGGCAAACGCACTTATCCGGTTGAACTGGGAAGCTGACCCGTTGATTATAGCCATCTTCTTTTCTGCCCTGGGCGTCACCGACAATCAGATCGGACTTTTTATGACCCTGACGCTTGTGGGAGATGTCTTCCTCGGGACACTGCTGTCACTGGTGGCAGATCGCCTCGGGAGGCGGCGGGTGTTGATAGGCGGATCGATGCTCATGGTTCTAAGCGGCGTGATATTTGCCGTCTTTGAAAACTTTTGGATATTGCTGCTCGGCGCCATCGTCGGAGTTATCAGTATCACCGGCGGGGACTTCGGACCGTTCCGGAGCATTGAGGAGTAGGTGCCCCGAATCTGTTGTGCAGACGAGACCGTACTCACCGAATCCTAGGTCCGTGCTGTCTCAATTGACGACTCCGTCAACGAGATCCGATGTGCTTGCCTGGCACGTGAGTACTCCGTTGATCGGTTCATCAATTGGGAGTGAAGTGTCTGGGAGGATCCTCCACTGGCTTCAGAGCAAGGACGGGTGGTCGGCAGTTGATTCCTATCACGCTCTGTTCTGGATATATGCAGCAATGGGTCTAGTGAATCTCGCCCTTGTTTCTTTACTGACAGATGCATGCGAATTACAGCAGTCAGACAATGGTTACAATGAAGTCCCCCAGCAAGAAGATGGAGTCGGAGAACCCCGGAGGAATCTTAACGAGCCGGAACCTCTGCATGTTCCCGCCGATAAGTCTAATCGACTTGTCACGGCTTGGACTTGGTTCTCTAATCAATTGGCTAGGATCTCGGCTCCGACGAGGTCTACCATGTACAAACTGTGGTTTCTGCTCGCAGTTGACTCTCTTGCAGACGGGATGGTGCCTTACTCACTGACAAACTACTACTTGGACATCAATTTCCACCCGTCGAAATCCACGCTCGGTGATGTGACTTCAGCCAGCTATCTCCTCGGCGCATTAGGCGCAACACTCGCGGGACCATTAGCGAAGAAGATCGGGCTCGTCAACACAATGGTTTTCACTCACATTCCTTCTTCGACTGCTGTTCTTGTGTTCCCATTCCCACCATATTTCTGGATGGCCGCTTCTCTGCTGTTGATCAGAGCAGCTTTGAACAGCATGGACCAGGCACCCCGCACCGCTCTTATCGCCACGATAGTCAAGCCCGAGGAGCGGACGGCAGTGATGGGAATCACCAGCACGATAAGAACGTTGGCTGCAATGGCTGGTCCGACCGTCACTGGGCTGTTGGCTTCCAATGAGCACTTCTGGGTCGCATTTGTGGCGGCTGGCGTCTGCCGGCTCGCGTACGATTTTGGCCTGTATGGGCTCTTTATAAAGTTTCAGAATGGGGCGACTCCTACGGATACGGAACGTACGACGAGTGATCAAGATGGACGAGCGAGTTTTGATGAAGAAATGGAGCTAGAGAGCTTATTCGGCTCGGACACCTCAAGCATTGACCGTCCGGAGATAACCTCAAATATCGGCTCAGCAATGGCTCTTAAGCCACCATCGGGCGTGGAGCATCAACGAGCACGGAGCAGGAGTCCTCATCGTGCGACGGAAATATTATAGGCAGAGCGATGATGTGGCCAGTCAAAATTGAGGAAAAGCTGAAGGATTATAACCAACCTCCAAATCATTTCATTTCTCGAGCCCATCTTGAGATCTAATCCTGCTTTTCCATCAGACATAAAAGAGTTCAAGTATCTAAGTGCGCAGCTTCGTTCCATAGGCAACGCAGAATTCCGCACCGCAGGCCTGATGTTTGCTACTCACAGTCTACATAACCTGACTGGTTAAAGCTCAAACTCTCGGGCCTTTTGCGTCTCTTACGCAAGACATACCATCAAGCCAATATAGCAACTGGCCCAAATAAGAACCGGTAAGGATGGGAAGTGCCAATATAGTGTTAATATCGTTCAGATTTACGGTACATGAACAACAGAGCTTGTCCTCTGTTCAGCATAAAGAGGTCAACAATAGTACCTTAACCTACACAAAGGGGTGCATTACGTGGCTGGCTGAGGACAATAACACAAAGCTACTATGGGCCCTAAATCAAGAAACAAGGTGATTATGAAATGTCCTCGGTATATATTTTGTTATATTATATATTATGGCGAGTTTGCCGCATAAGAAAAGTTGATGTTCGAATACACAGCTCGTCATAAATGAATCAGAAGCAAAATGGCACCCTACGCCCAACATCTCCAGAGGTTAAGTCAGTCTTTTCTCAAATTGGACCCATCAAGTCTACCAGAGGTTCTTGTTATCTTCCTTGGCGGGAGCCGTCTTTACAAACAACAGGCACACCTCACTCTCGGGGGCGTGTTTAATCAAAGTGATTACGACAGCATCGTAGTTTTGCCAA